GGTGGGGGGGCTTACACTTCCAAGTTGTGAAGAGGGCAGACAATGATACATATTGCGCCCACTAGCACAGACAAACACACCACACACACACACACACACACACTCACTTTACACCCACCCACAAGCAACCACACACCACCCACCACCACCACCACACACACACCAGGCACACACACACACACACACACACACACACACACACACACCCCACGCACACACACACACGCGCGCGCGCGCACGTGTCTGTCGTCTGATTCGCATACCCATCCGATGAGGCCGGGCCGGAGTTCGCAGAAGAACTTAAAGTCGAAGTCCCCGATGCGCGGGTTAAGCTCATGGCCAATGAAAAAGTCATACACCATGTGCCCTGCTCACGGGCACAAGGAGGGTGTGGGCACAGCAGGCATAGACGCGGGTGAATTGCGAGTTGGCTCTTTCCAAAGCATAACAGCGCACGCACGAGCACACGCACGCACGCACACATGCACATACACAAGTACATGCAACAAAACTACCCAAGTACACACATGCACACGCGCAGGCAAGTAGATAGCACAAACACGCACACACGCACACACGCACGCACGCACACACGCACACACGCATACCCTACACATGACAAGTGCAAAGAGCAAACGCACCGCTGTTGCCGCCCTCGGCGAGCATGGCGCCGGGCTGACGGGCCTTGAGGTAGAGGAAGATGCTCAAGAGCAGGCAGAAGATCATGCACACGGTCACCAGCTGCAAAAACGAATCGTAGATGTAGGCCAGGTTGATGACGCCCGCAAAGTGCAGCGCTGGTACCACAGCCATGGTGATGAAGAACGCACGCAACCCTGACAGTTGCCGACAGTAGCCGGAAGCAAACACACAGTACATGAGCCAAGCAACAAACCACCTCTTGGAGGAGGGAAGACGGGTGTGCACTTTCAAGTCGCAGACATACAGACACAAACATACACGCACACACACACACACACACACGCAGACACACGCAGACACACACACACACACACAGACACAGACACACACACACGAACATATACACACACACACACACACGAACATACACACACGAACATAGAGACACACAGGACACTGACCGTTGCACTTGTACTTGAGCTTTGATCCATCCCTGAGGGGAAGGCCTTCGCACACCTGACCCGGAACAAACATGTAGAGGGCAGCCTGAAAGGCAAACCAGCCAAGCAGCACCGCTGCCGCGTCCCACGACACCCACTCGCGCAGTGGAGGCAGCGAGTCCAGTGCTGGCAGCGACGTGAGGGAGCAGTCGCCCTTTTCCGCGTTGCACATGAAGAACAGGAAGTACACGGCGACCGGCAGCCCCAGGACCATCACTGTGGCCCCAGGCACGCCGCCGAACTCAAAGTGCGTCGTCTTTGGGTTCTCAAACTTGCCCATCGTTGGCTCGCGCTGCGTGTGTTCTGAAGTCAAGGAGAGAGGAGGATGAAGGCTGGCTTGTAGGCGAGACTGGCACTGTTGATGTTGCGACCACGGCTGCAGAAAACTGACGGAAAAGGTGGTCAATTATCGCTGATTGGAGGTGGTGTGTGTCTGTGTGTGTCTTTGTGTCTGTGTGTGGAGGTGTGTGTCTGTGTGTGGAGGTGTATGTCTGTGTGTAGGTGTGTCTGTGTGTGTTTGTGTGTGTGTGTGTGGTTGGATTGCTGTCTCCTTCTCTCCTTGCCCCATTGACGTAGTATTGTATTGTATGTATTTGTCGTCGCAATCACATCACATCACACCATTGCTCAGCGTTGCAGTAGAGTAGAGAGAATCATTATAGTTAACCAAAATCAACCATGTCTCATTTGGACACAACACACACAAGCACAAACACACACAACCAGAACCACTACCACATCAACCACCACCAAACACACACACACACACACATACACGAACACACTGCCCTCCCACCCACAAGTCCAAGTCCAAGTCCACGGAGCATACCATGCCAACCACGCGTCAAGTTCAGAAGTACACGAGAGCAATGTGCTGCATAATCTTGTGCAGAAGCGCTGCTGTCTCCTTGTCGTCCTTGTCCAGCTTGGCCCGCTTGTTTGCCAGCCACTCCAGCAGGAACCACTTGCCCCGAAACAGCCGACTCATGACGTATTCAACGGAATCGTCCGAGAACACGAAGGAAAACAGCAGCGCTTCCCAATCCAGCAAAATGTCTGCGCGGTAGTTCGTTGGCTTGCCATGCAGCACACTGCGAGGCCGCTCGCGCAGCCGCGTGGGATAGGAGTCGGGAAGCTCCGAACCAGCCTCGCAGAAAAAACCAAAGCCAAAGATGCGGCCGTCGCCTGAGACATTGTGAAAGCGGATGTCGCAGTGACAGAGATTGTTCTGCGACAAGCGAAAGAGGTTTTCAGCCGCGGCATCAAGCCCGACGTCGATGTCAGTTCCCAGCTTTAACCGGGGAAACGCAAGGATGGGGCGTGACCGCTGGTACACTTTAACCTTCTCATTTGGATAGAGCAGTTGCCAGGCCTGCAGCTCCCGGGCCACCTCCTCAGAAGCATCAACGCTGCGGCCGCCGCACACCTTCAACACCTTGCCGTTCACCCCTGCAAACGCTGCCATGTCTTCGTCACCTTTGTAGATGGACAGGACGTATCTCGTGGCAACTTTGGCAGACCTTGCCCGTGTTGCTTCGGCGTCTGCACGCTCACACTGCTCCCCCTTGCTGCTGTCTGCTGTGTCACTCTTGGGGGCTGGTGCTGTCTCCGTGCTGCACCGAGTGTCGACAATCTGCTGTCGTGGCGCGGACTGCGACTGAGCTGCTTCTTCCTCCTTGTCGCTGGTGATGCTGGTGCTGCTGGTGCTGGTGGTTGTGCAAGCAGGCGTGTCCGAGGCACCGTCAGTTGTGGGTGTCGTCTTAGGCGCAAGCGCTGGAGCTGAGGGGGAAGGGGCCTTTCGTCCCTGTTGTCATCGGTGTGTGTGATTGTTGGGGTGAGTGCCATTGGTGCTTGTCGAACGAAAAGAACGAAAGTGCACGAGGACACCGCACGCACACAGGGTTTGTGTGTGTGTGTTGTGTAATGATGACAGAATACCAAGACAGCAAGTGAGCAAGAGGGCAAGAAGGCAAGACGGCACAACATCACGCCTGCGACGGCTACCTGGGCAATGGCAGAAACCCTCTCGTAATGTGCCATATGCTCTGCGTCGACCAGCCACTTGATGACGTTCCCGAGCTTCTCCAGCTAGATGCCACAACAAAGAAAACAAAGTGAGGGCCTTGTGCAAGCACACACGATGACATACGCGGCCGCGGCCAGTTGACAGCAACCACATAGACGCACGTGCAGGTGCATGTGTCTCACAGAGATGTGCGCGCATGTACACCACCCACCCAACCCAGCCCCCCTCACACACAATGCACACAATGCACCCACACCCACCCACACACACACACACCCACCCACCCACACACACCCACCCACCCACACACACACACACCCACCCACACACAGACGCACAATGCAAACACCCTCCAACGCTGTTCGCACATGCGGTGGCAACTCACTTTGGTGTCGCCAAGTTTTGTGTAAAGGACACTGATATAGCCCTTGCCACTGTGCATCTCCTTGCCCAGCGTGCACGCGTACACGGACACCTTCCCCCCGCAGACGGTGATGGCAAAGGGGAACAAATACCCCTTCAAATCACGCCACTGTTTTCCCGTTGATCTGATGGCCCTAGCTGCGTACTCCAGCATCTGCGCCTTGGCAGCATCCTGCGTCTGCTGGCTGTCACTTGTCCTCAGCTCAATCACCAGCGGGTAGCAGTTGCGGTTTGAGATCAAACGCACAACGTAGTCGGCGACAGAGCCGGGGTCGGCCCAAAACACCGCGTTGCTCTTGACGTACACTGCTGCGCCAGCACATGCCTTGGCCAAGGGCCCTTGCATGCGGTCGTTGAACCGCGTCTCTGGCGTGTAAGCGGCAGTTGGAAAACCTACGGTGCAGCAGGCGTGTGCAGAACATCGTTGGTATGAGAGATGCAGACAGAGAGAGAGAGAGAGAGAGAGAGAGAGAGAGAGAGAGAGAGAGAGAGAGAGAGAGAGAGAGAGAGAGAGAGAGAGAGAGAGAGAGAGAGAGAGAGAGAGAGAGAGAGAGAGAGAGAGAGAGAGAGAGAGAGAGAGAGAGAGAGAGAGAGAGAGAGAGAGAGAGAGAGAGAGAGAGAGAGAGAGAGAGAGAGAGAGAGAGAGAGAGAGAGAGAGAGACACAGAGAGAGAGAGAGAGAGAGAGAGAGAGAGAGAGAGAGAGAGAGAGAGAGAGAGAGACAGAGAGAGAGAGAGAGAGAGAGAGAGAGAGAGAGAGAGAGAGAGACACAGAGAGAGAGAGAGAGAGAGAGAGAGAGAGAGAGAGAGACATTGCGAGTGAGAGAGAGAGAGAGAGAGAGAGAGAGATAGTGTGAGAGAGAGAGAGATTGAGTGAGAGAGAGAGAGAGAGACAGACAGAGAGACAGACAGAGAGAGAGACAGACAGAGAGACAGACAGAGAGAGAGAAAGGTTGTCCCTCAGAGGCAGCACGCACATGCACACACACGACCACGCAAAGGCAAACACATACACGCATGCTCCAACGCATACAAACGAGCACCGAAGGCTCAACGACCATTTAACAGCGCTGGCACACACACACACTTGTGTCGCATGCTCGCGTGGAAAAGACGCTCACATGCAAGCATGTACACATGACACATGCACATCCTTCACAGTGGCTTGGCCTTACCAAAGGTGTCATCCTTGCGTTCCACCACTTGAAACCACTCGTTGTGCAGGTGCCAGTCAGGGCAGAGAAGCTCGGCAGAGAACGGCTGCCTAAACACTTCTCTGCGATCCTTCGCCCTTTCCTCGGCAACTAACGTGGGGTTCCAGTCCCAACGGATGTCTACATGAACCACGCAAACAGCCAGCATGAGCTCGAGCAATGCGCCAACAGCGTGTCAACCAGCAAGCAAGAGTGATTAAGCACAGCAACAACAACAACAGCAACAACAGCAACAACAACAGCAACAGCAACAACAACAACAACACTAATGTACATGCACATGCACGCAAACAACGCCGCATTTGGTCACATCAGCTGCACATGCAAGACATGCATAGCATCTAGGATGAAGCAAACGCACCGTGCCAATACCGTCTGTTCATCCGAGACTCGGCGAATCCTTTGCGTCTGACGTCGTCAATACGACGCAGGAATCCTTTCACCTTGCTCAATGGCATAACCTGCTTCTTCTCGCTCAGCACGCTGCGGATTTCCTGAATCAGGGCCTTGATGTTTTCCGCGAAGGGCTGCTTCAGCATGTCTTCGAGGTACTTCTCTGTCTCATGTTCGTTGTAAGATGGCTCAAGTGGAAGGAGTGCAATCCCATGCTTGTCGGCGATTTTTCGGACCTTCTCCGCCAAGGAGCCGCATTGTGAGTCGTAGGATGGGTACATGCCCTCTACAACGTTCTTGTACTCTGTGGTTGCTGCTTGTAAATATGCGCGCGCAAGAAGGCCGGCCTGAAAGGAAGGATGAAGAAGTGGGTTGAGCAAGATACATAGCAAGTGAGAAGGGGGAGAGTGTCATTATTGTTCCGGGTGGGGGACGGGGACAACAATGCCACTTCCCGAGCACACACACACACACACACACACACACACACACACACACACACGTCCGGTGTTTGCATTCAAAGAGTCCAAAGGTCACTCACCTCAATTGCTGACAGGGTTGTGTAGTCCACAGGGACATCTTCCTCTTCTTTGCCATTGTGGGATGCTCCCGTGCCGTCATCGGACGAGTCGCCCTTGTTGTGTGATGTGGTGAGTGAGTGAGTGAGTGAGTGAGTGAGTGAGTGAGTGTGTGCTGCTGTGCTGTGGCGTCAGCACAGCACATTGTAGACATTGTGTGTGATAGCAACAGCGCGTGAGTTTGTCTAACAGCAAACGCTGCCCTTATCACTTCAGTGTCTTCCCCTTCCCCCGTCAACCGCCTTTCCACTTCCTCTTTCCACCTCTCCACGTTCAGTCATGCAGCCGAAGAAGAAGGTCGAGAAGGTCTAGAGAGAAGGTCTCCTCACCTGGTCCTGGTCGGGAGTGCTGTTCAAGTCCCGCGCTGACATGGTCGCGTGTCAGCTGCACTGCTGGCTGCTGGTTTGAAATTTGTTGGCGGCTGCGTGCAAAGCGAAACCAACGGAAATCATGCCAAATCTTCACAAACGTTGACACCCAGAGGTAGGAATGTTGTTGTGGGAGCTTTTTCGAGTTAGCTGGCTGGGTGTTTTGCTGGACACACACAGGTGTGGTCCGAGGTCGACACCCCTCAGCCCCTCGACCCTCGACGCACGGCCTGCGTTCGCTTGCTCTCTCTCATCATGAGCGGGTTGTCTTCCTATTCATCTGAGCTGGGGCACTTTTCACTCACTCATACGCACAACGCATCGTCATTGTTCAACCACACAACACAACACAACACAACACAACACAACACACACCACTCGATCGCACGTGCAGGCGAAGAAGGTGGCATTTTGACACGACGCACGCAGGATGAGTGGAAATGAGCTACAGGACCGCTACAACAGCCTGTCAGCGCAGCTGGCGGCGCAAAATGACGCGCTGCAACGAATGGCAGAGACGCAGCGGAATATCGAGCAGTCGTATGCCCAGCATGGGGTCAGTTGTGTCCATCTTTACATGCGTGCTTGCGTGTGTGTGTTGTGTTGTGGTGTGTGTGTGTTGTGTGTGTGCTTGTGTGTGTGTGTGTGCCTCTCTATTTCCAAGCGCATCCGTCCTTTTTTTCCACATGCCAGCCCTCCCCTCTGCAGTCTTGCGTGTCCTTCTGTTGTGCTCCCTGCTTGTTTTGCTGCCGCCGCTCGATTGTCTCTTCATTTACTGGCCGTGGCGGTGCCACTGGCACACAATGCTTGCGTGTCCGTCTACCATGACCTCATGCGCCCTTTTGCTGTGTGCACTCTGTTCGCTCACGACCTTGCAGAAGACAGAGGGAACAGCCCTCATGACGCGCATGTCCACGTTCGAGCAGAAGGTGAGAGAGAGCACACAAGCAACACCACGCCAGCTCAGCAGCCACGGAGACCTGTTGAGTGCGTGTTTTTGCTGGCTCGCGATGGCCAAGTCTCCATGGGTTGATGAGAACACGTTTGTGTGACGACTTGTATGCATGTCGCTAGGTCAACACGATGGAAACGGAGATGCGACAGCTGCGGGAGCAGATGAACAACCTGCTTCAACTGTTTCATCTCCAAGAGCGCGTACGTCGCGACCACCTGCGCTTGCGCACGCATGTTGAATGCGCGTGTGCTCTTGCTTGCACTTGCATCACTCGAAAGGTACTGCTCACATTGTACACTGTTGTACTCTATCGTGCGCATGTGTGCGTGTGCGCGTGTGGTGTGTGTGCGCGTGTGTGCGTGTGGTGTATGTGTGTGTGCGTGGGTGCGTGCGTGTGTGTGTGCACGTGTGTGTGTGTGTGGATTTGTACGTCTTGCAGGTGCTTGAGCAAGACCGCCAGATGCGCGCGTTCATTCAGCAGCAGGAGCGCCTGCTCCACCACTTTTCCCCTCCAGTGCGTATGTGTGTGTGTGTGCGTGCGTGTGTGCGTGCGTGTGAGTGTGTGAGTGTGTGTGTGTGTGTGCGCGCGCGCGTGGGCATGGTTGTGTGTGTGTGTGGCCAACAAGTGTGCGCACACTGATCAAAGTCCTTGACGTCAAGGAGACACATGAACTTAGCCTACGCACCTTCGCTCATCCCCTGCCCACTCCACTTTGCTCACGTCACAGGAACATTCGCACATGGTGACCCTCGGCCAGCTGCAAGGTGACATGTGACAAGGGACATGAGCCGTCATACATGCTACGTGTTTCATGCTGTCTATCGCTGTATGGCACGTGCTTGTCCCACCAGCACCACCAGCATCACCAGCACCAGCACCAGCACCAGCACCAGCAGCACCACCACCACCAGCATCACCACCACCAGCACCAGCACCACCACCGCCACCAGCACCAGGATCACCACCATCACCACCACCACCGCCAGCATCACAGCATCTACCAGACCCTTGCACCATCGTGTCGACCACCACACCGCTTCCCAGGCCACAGCAGCACACGTGCTCAGCAAAATTGCACTGCTCCTTTCCTCTGCCAGCGTGTGCTCACCCCATTCACCCGTGTTGCTTTGTGACCGTCGTGTGAACCATGCCATGCAGACAACCAGCGTCGGCTCACCGACAGCCTGCAAGCGCTGCACATGCGCCCGTCCGGGTCCATGATGCAAGCAGCGTCGCACCACATGCCATACACCGTTCCGCGCGTTGAGGGCGGCGAGTCCACAGCAGCAGACGGCCCCGTAAGTGCTTGCCTGCAGGCGTTCATGACGGCTGTGCAACACTGTTGTGAGCTGAGCTGTCTATGTGTGCTGCATGTACAACATGTACGCATTTCTATGAGCGTTGCCCCTGTTCTCACCCACCTTTCTCCGTTGCTTTGGTGGTGTTGCTTTGATGGTGTGCTGTTGGTGTTGCTGTTGGTGTTGCTGTTGGTGTTGCTGTTGGTGTTGCTGTTGGTGTTTAGTCGTCGCTGGAGACGATGGACCAGGACGCCCTGAACGGCGAATGGCGCACGTTCGGAGGTGCTGCTGTCTTGCGGATGCTGGTGGTGGTGATGGTTGTGATGCTGATGAGGACAGTGATTGTCATGTTGGTGGTGGCGGTGGCGGTGCTGGTGACGGTTGCTGTTGTTTGCGTTGTTCGTGTTGTTGCGGCTCGCGCTTGGTTGTCCCCTCACAAACATGCCGATGAACGAATGTTCTCGGGATGTGCATCCGTGGTCGCGTCGCGTATATTCCCTCTACAGACGATATTGCCGCGTACTTGAACGAGCCCGAGCTCACGGGCTGTGGTGAGTTCGCACCCACGACCTGTCATCCATCACTGTGCACTGTGTAACATGCCCAGCTTCTCTCAACTGTCGGTACACGTTAGTCGCTTTCACTCATCTTGTCGTTTTCGTCCGTCTTCGCACTTGTATGTGTGCATGAATGTGGACATGTGTGTGCGCGCGTGTGTGCATGCGGCTGTTCATGACAGCCATTGTGCCCCACGAGCCCTTCGACCCAGAGAAGGATGCAAAGGTAATACTGGCTGGTGAAGGTTTCACTTGTGGTGATGGTTATGGTA